TGTATATCAAATTGTTGCTTCCTTTCCTTTTTCATGAAAAGCTAAAAACTGCTGAAAAACAGGTGGACTTTTTAACACCAGTGAAATCACTTACTCAGAAAAAGAACTCTTGGGATGTACTCGCCATCAACCACAAACTGGCTTCCCTTCGGCTCTTCTTCGTCTTCTGTATTTACCATCACAAAATGCCTGCTCATTTCTGCAAACTCCTTTGAGTCAGCAAGTTTTGGTTTCAGGGCTGCGAAGATTTAAATAGGAGGTTTCATTAATCCTCCCTCTTCAAGGATATGATAAAATGAGATCAGATTGTAAATGCGCCTAGCTCGAAATGAATTACCTTTACACGAACCACACCAAGTCTTGTGAATGAGAAGCAACATCCACTTGCCACTGCAAAAAAAAAGGAACTTAAGTTCTCCCAAAGTAAACATAGATGAAAGGAAAATGGACGTAGTTCAAGAATACGTATTTACCTCTGCTTAATTTGCTTTAATCCATCTTCGAACGTCACCCAGTCTATACGGTCTCCAAAACCTGTGCGACCAAAGGGAGAAATATAATTGCAAACTCAGTTAATGCTAATGTTGTATTCCTTATCAGTTGCATTAGGCCAATTCTCACTCTGGCATTGAAAAAAATATTACCCCTAGTTACATTGTCCATGTACTGTACTTAACCCTGTGACTGGTTGAGAAAACTCGCGCCGCATTCCCTCTCAACCAATCACCACTAATAGCAACTTTTTCATTTACGGTTTCGCGCGCTTCCAGAAATTTGTTTGTTTTAATTCGATTTCCCTTCGCCCTCTTGTGATTTTGGCCTTTGTTTTCATTGATCTTATAGCCAGCTTTACCAGTTTTGACCAAATAAACTTAATAGAAGTGTGCTAAAGTATTTATCAGCAGCAGATGTCGACGTTCTTCTTACCTCTTGCAAGAGGATTGCTTTTTACGACTGGTTCTTCAATTTCTTTCAGTATATCGCTCCCTTTGGTCTTTTTCAGGACTGACTTCATACTGTCAATAACTGTGAAAGACAAACCAAACAAACAAACAGTCAAGTTCACATATTGACAATGATCAGATCCCCACGTTTTTTTATTCACTTACTCTCAGAGGTTTTCCCGTAGTAGTACTTAGTGTCTTTGTGTTTCCCGTTTTCATTGTAAAATTCTTTCATGACCTCTCCTTCTGCAGCTGAAAAACAAAGACAGAATTTTAAATCATTGCACTCAGCTGCACTAATTTTAAGTTGTGATTTTAAAGGATAGAATCGGAAAAAGAACCAGACAAGCTTTGAATCAAAACCCACCCAATCAAATTTCACCCCTATAAGGTCATTTTCGATTGAATGTCCAAAGTAATCAGGGATTGCCCTAGTTCTTCTTAATTTTGCTAAGTGATTGGTCCCGAAAACTTGCGCCGTCCTCTCAACCAATCAGATTTAAAACTAAAAAAAATTGCGACTTTTTCATTCGCGTTTTCCTGCGCTTCAAGCAGTTTGCTTATTTTGATTATGATCTCTCATTGGCTTATGACGATGTAAACCTCTTTCTGATTGGTCGCTGAGAAAACTGCTCTATGTTTCTAGAAACTAACACAAAGCTTACACAAAAACAAGATCCTAGGAATATATCTTCCATCTGGGCGGTACTTTTCCTCCTTTGGCTCCTCTTCATCCTACAGCAAAAATCAACTATTTGTTAGTGAAAGATCGTGTGAATTAAAGACATGCAGAATACATCAACGTATAATTTATATATATATATATGGGCCTGAAAGTGCCCCTAATCATTCACATTTAGGAATAGATTCACAATGACATTTGAAATCATCACCAACTTGTTATTCTATAGATCAGTGTTTTTTTAACTTGATGACTGCAAATTTTAAAAAATGGGAATGAGTGGCTTTTACTGAGCCAGAATAAGATGTTTCTTAGAGGTTTAGTGTAACTATGGTTACCGTAGCTTTTTCCGTTGACAAAATTAATTAATTAAATTGTTTATTTAATGTCAGCCACATTTGGATTTTGGAGTCTGTCATTATCAATCCATCAAATAATGGGTTTCAAGAAACAGGGAGATCGTTTCAAAGCTTTTCAAGTCCCCTTCGAATTCTTTGCAATTTTTTTCAGGTCTCTCGAGCTTACCTCTACATTAACCATCACAAAATGTTTACTCAGATCTGCGATTTCTTGAGAATTCGCGAAGTCGGGCTTCAACGCTGCGAAGAAGAAACTTATGTTGGACTGTAAAGGTTTACCAGCTTGATCAACTCCCGCGCCATTGTAAGGCACTAGGAGTCTGATCAGGAACTTTTATTCACTCTTTGAGTCTCTCTCTCTAATTCAGCCTGAAGTAAATGCTCTGAAATATCCTATCGGCAAGCATGTTTGAAGTTACGGTACAACTGACCGAGCTAGAGTAAACGTATTTTGAGAACGCTAACCCAAAAAATTTCACGAGACATTCGAAATGACAACGAAATACTTGAAAAACAACCAATCTTCTAGAGAAAAAAACTCAGCAAAATTTCCCGTTGAGGACTTTCACCAAGGTCAAGGAGAAACCCAAACAGGACTAGCGATGACGATTATCGTACTAGAATTACTAGAAGCCCTATTACAACGGTCAAGGACTCATCACTCAAAAGGTAAAATTAAATGTGTGGTCTTGCAGCGCATAACTTGCAAACCAACGCTCGCAAGACTCGCGCATGGACTGCAAGATAATCAAACAAGCCTAAACGTTTCCCAAACACTTAGCCAGAGCATTCCTAATTTTAGTAATTCATAACACATAACAAAAGCAAATCAGAAATATTTGGAAAAATTAGCACGGTGTTTCTATTATTTCCATGATTACCTATCCGAAAAGAAGTATATTTCCATTCGATGAAGAGTTTAAATCATATTTTCGCTTCACCTTATTTTTGTAATTCAGCAACAAAGTAGAGAGAATATTTTACCTTTACAGGCTCCACACCAGGTCTTGTAAATCAACAGCATTAGTGGCTTATCACTGTGAAAGGAGGAATTGTATTTTTCAAGTTTTTTGTGATTTAGTGTAAGGAAAGCGTGGTAACCTAAGAAAATTGGAAAGTTACAATTACACATGACCGACGTAAGCCGTATCGATAGAAGGTAGATGTGAGCAAGTAGTGTATCAGAGCATCCTTATACGTTTATCATAACAATGTATCGGCCTTTTAGATCTGAGTTTGAAATGGAGCCTCTCTTCGCCATAACAAGTTTTGGAATTTTTTCGATTTGAAGAAATGACTATGGCACAATCTAAGAGAAACGACTTGCAAAAGACTTTTTCTTCCCGATTATAGCCATTGTTATTCTATGATCTACAGTATAGATAATGGAACAACCTGTCCTCGCAAAATGTCGCAAGTCAAAAGTTGACATCTACAGCTCTTGCTTAACTAAACAAAGAATTCGTTGTGTTTATAAATCATAAAACAACTATCAAACAGAGAGTTTCTCTTCTACTCCATGTCAGCTACTAACAGTGAATCAATCAAATAGAAGCGTACTTGCACATGAAAACTTGTCGTAACCGTAACTGAAGTTGTTGAGTTCTTTCGCCAGACTCTATATAATGTAGCTTTATTACGATTTAATACCACGTGACTAAGGACATCTCCTATTCTCTGAGTTCCACTGACTTCAATTTTAATTCCTTCTAACTTAAAAACAGACTTTGTGATGAGAATAAACAGAGACTAGGGACTGATTTTCATAAAGCTCGAATAAAGTTGTTAGCTAATTCATTTAGACCAAATGCAAATTTTCCTTAATTGAAATCTCACCACGGATTTGATAGAATGCTCTTTTGTATGTTTCGAATTTCGATATAAGCATCAACTATCCGATATACTTTTCGAAAGTAGATGTAAAACATAGGAATCTGAGTGCTTCGTTTTCATTCATACGGTAATTGTTTCATGATCGATTTGCAACATTTCTACTGATCAGAAAGAGCGCCCCTCAAAACAAATTTTGTTTTATTCTTCACTCCAATCTTTTTGTTTCATTGATCATTAAAATAACTCAGTTATTTACCTCTTTTTCGCTGCTTTCAAACCATCTTCCAAAGTTTTCCATTCTATCTTTTCTCCCCAGCCTGAAAAATTCAAATTCAAGGCAGAGTCACTCAAAACATTCATTCTAACTGCTCTCAAAGAAGTGAAATCATAACGTGAATCTAAACATTCCATACCTCGATCAAGAGGTGACTCGGCTTCGAATTCACTGCATTTACATATAGCTAAATTGGAAAATAAAACTAGGGCTATAAGTTGCCTCATCTTCAAACTGCGTTCTTTTAAAGTTGAAGACTTCTTTCTTTTACTGTCTGTCTGCCTTTGCAAGAAATGCTGTGCGGTAAAGACGATATTGTCTTTTTCCACCTGCTGAATTTCCAGGTTGGCCTATTGGACGATGCGACTTAAAGTGTAGAAGATCGTAGGACTAAAAACTGGTAACAAGCTCCTGTTCATTAATAATTGAGTAATTCCTTTTTTGTGAGGGAAATTTAATTGTAGTGGAGTTGAAAGACACACGACTTTTTTGAGTGGAATTTTAGAAGCACCGATTTGCAGAAAACTGGAGTCAGTTTTGGTGGTTGCGGCTGGTTTTCCTCCTTCACAAAGAATCGTACAAGGCAAAAAATGAAGAAACTGGTGGAACTTAGAGATTACCAAAGTGCAAGTGCAGGGGAAAATGTTCGACATTTCAGAACAGAAAATTGCCCAACTTGTGTCAGGTTGCGGTTGATTGTCGTTTTTCAATATTTATAATCTTTTTCTACAGGTAAATGATGGAATAATTTTGAAACTAAAAGTGCTTGTCCCTATTTCCTATGACACCTTGGATCGCGTGGAAGACTGGGACGAGAAATTGAAGGTCCGCGTGACGATTGACAATGAAGAGCCTGAGCTCTACTTCTCCTAATATGGCAATCTCGTGAGTTGTCCTACGCACGCGCCCCACTTACGCAAGAAAAGTCTTGCACCTTACGACTTGCATCAGCTATCTAAGGCCTGTACTTCGAACGCCTTTTCTCAAAATCACTAGAAATTGAAAATGTGGTCTACTTTAAACACTTCTCGAAGATCTCTCAAGCATCTTGCCAGGGTTGCCCGTCATGTGGCTTCACTGAGATCGTTTGGGTCTGTCAGCAATCAGGTACGACTCGATCGCTATAAGTGCCGGTTATTTGACATATATGTACCACTTCTAGATTTCCTAATTATCGGTCTCGTTTTCGCCACCAACAGAGAATTATTACCGAAGATATCCTGTCAAAAAATGGATTCTGTAAAAGTCGACCTTACAGGTAAGATTACGGTAGTTTGTTGGGTAGCTAAGATATTTTAAAGGTAATCCAGTTTTCCACGTGGTCTCCATCAGGGCCAATAATCACTCCAGTTCTTATATGTGGCTAATAGAGATGGAAAAAAATTTTTCATACCAAATTCTCTTGATTTGTTACTTTCCAACTTGAGAAAAAATTGGAGGAGAATATCTTTCAGTAAACGAGTTCAACTTCAAGTTTGATTGATCTACTGTAAGTACACGTACATATCTTATGTAATCGACCATTAGGAAAGTTCATACAGTTTAGAGACTGTTTCTGGGTTTTAACTGTTCCCGTGTTGTTCACGATCTCATTCACGTAGTCTACGTAGGCTTAATTCTTTGAGGTCTTTTATTTACGCCATATGTCCCCTAGAAATACTATGAAAAACCTTTCGTAGGGTTTTATGCAAGACTTCTACCATATTGCATAAATTCTAAGTTCTGGCAATTCAGTGGGAATGTTTACATGTCTTCCAGCTGATCATCTGAATTCAGATAATACTTGTGCGCAGATACACTTGTCAAAACATGATCCAACATTTTTGTTGGGAATTGTATAATTTTACATGTACCTTTGAGAAGAAGGTACAATCAGGTGATACAATATCCTTCATATAAGCTACCTTTCGTTTTTCTCTGAGCCTTTCTTCTTGACGATGTACCCGCACTGATATCGTAAGGAGTAGCATGCATCTACATTTGTTGTTCATGAAGTAAATAATAAATTGCAGATATCATACTTAAACTTTGGAGACATCATACCTACTGACAAATACACTTACCACTCACTCATGGTAGCAAAAGAGGCCGTAGTATGTAATTTCTTCATATAATACCCATGAATTATCTAGCAAGCAGGTAATTAGAATACTCAAATCTATCAGGTAGAAATCTTTATATTGATCCAACACTAAATTCCCATAACTGATTTACAGGGAAGGGTTTTGCAGCTAGAGGGGAGAATTATCAATCAAAACTCAATCTAATCTCCTACAATTGTTTTGTTAGTCAAATTCATTGTAAGAAGAACTGTTTGCATATGTGTTATGGTTGTAAATTTATATTGGAAGTCATACAAAATAAGTTTGAATTTATGTCATAGCTCTGAAGCTGTGCGAGGTGCAGTTTGTGGTATTGATCTTGGAACAACAAACTCCTGTGTGGCTGTGATGGAAGGAAAGACACCCAAAGTGCTTGAAAATGCGGAGGGATCCCGAACCACACCCTCAGTTGTAGCCTTTACCAAGGAAGGAGAGAGACTTGTTGGTACCCCTGCTAAGAGACAGGTAAATTATTGTACAATTATTTTGAAAAATTTATCCATTTTAAATATGCACACTTGCATCTAGTTTATTTGCCAGTAGCTTCTAAGACTTGCACTGGTCCAAAGGTTAATGTACACAGAAGTTTCCAAAGTAACTTGTCATCTAAAGATCAACTTTACAGGACAGACTTTTTAAGCATCAAGCTGTACTGTTCACTCAGCAACCATGGTATGTGCTGTGTTACTAATTAAAGCTTCATCATATATGAAACTTTTTCCACAGGCTGTTACAAACCCAGAAAATACATTGTATGCCACCAAAAGGTACATTGGTCGCAGATATGATGATCCTGAGATCAAGAAAGATGCGTAAGTATTTTGATAAATTTTATGTCATGGATGCATTTTCATGTAAATTACTTTTAGAGAGCATTCAACTTTGAACTCTGGTTAATGAAACAACAGCTAATGAATTTTTCCTATTTTAGACAAAGTGTGTCATTCAAAATAGTCAAAGCCTCAAATGGGGATGCATGGTTTGAAGCCAATGGCCAGATGTATTCACCAAGTCAGGTTGGAGCTTTTGTACTCATGAAAATGAAAGAGACAGCTGACAGTTACTTAGGTACAACAGTCAAGAATGCTGTGGTCACTGTGCCAGCCTATTTCAATGACTCTCAAAGACAGGTTTGTATCGCATTACATGTAATAAAATGATAGCTTTACGTGATACACTTACGGTGTAAATTTGTCAATGTTGCTTCACAATTGAATCAACTTTATTTAACAAGAGTTAACTTTAAACAGTTATTCAACTGAGAAACTTGTAGCCCTCAATCCATTTGGATAATGATAAATACTTTTATGTGCAGAAACACAAATACACTGTATATATACAAGTCTGATATAAAAAGGAATAGCAAGGTAGATTGGACAGCTAAATAAGATTTATAAAGCATTTTGATTAGGAGTACTACTCAGTGCAAAAATCAGTATAGCAGTTGCAGCATTGCAATCAAGACAATGTAATAGCCTGATCATGATTAATCTTCATTTAGTTAAAGTAATCCACTTTGTGGTACCTACAGTTGGTAAAAAATAAACATGAGCTGCCTTTCTGAAGGTGGTTTTAGAAATCCTGACTTTCCTCAAAGTATTTGGCAGGGAATTCCAGAATCCAGTAACAGATATCAAAAGTTCCTCCTTCCTCAGACTTGTAATTAAAGGGAGCACAGACAAGATTTAGATTTCTGTGGCAACCAGCTCCTTTAAATCTGTACAACATCTTAATAGATCTTGCATAAATACAGGGAAGCTTCCTTGTAAATTTAAGTCCTCAAGAAATAATTTACATGTGTTGGCCTCAACTCTGTCAGAAAATGGGAGCTGTGCCAATGATGCACATATTAATTTTAGTTATTGAATGTGAAAATTCTTTCTGTGCAGGCCACAAAAGATGCTGGCCAGATAGCTGGACTGAATGTTCTGAGGGTGATTAATGAACCCACAGCAGCTGCATTGGCTTATGGCATGGACAAATCTGAAGACAAAATGTAAGTTGTTGCTACCCTTCTGATCAGCTTGTTACTGTTGCCCATTGTATTTCTGGTATTTTTGTTGGTGGGAACAGTGCAGGGTTTTGTTAAGAACTTAGCCTGCCAGTTGAAATTTCAAGTGAGGCACCTTAAAAAAAGTCTTACCTGACTCAGTAACAGCACAATGTTCCCAGTTCTTTACTACACTTTGAAAAATGAAGTGCTCAAAACAATGTTTTGAATTATTTTACTTGTGATATGTTACTAATTCTTAGATTAATCAGACATATACATTTATCTACCCATAAGTCCCCTCAGTAAGATGATATTGGGTTTGATATTGAACAATTTTAGGGTTATAACATCAGAGGTGCTGTTGTGCTTACTAAGGGATCTCCAGCTAAAAATGCAGCCTGCAATACCTGCTTTCTCATCTGAAAAAATTTGCCAGCAGCTGGTACTTAGCAACAACCCTGACCATGTACAGCGAGATTAATCAATCCCATGTACTTTTGAATATGCATTGAAGGAAGAAAATGGATTGAAGGAAGTTTAAAGTAGAATTTTGAATTTTTTGTTTCAACCTATAGAATTGCAGTGTATGACCTTGGTGGTGGTACCTTTGATATCTCCATCTTAGAAATACAGAAAGGAGTTTTTGAGGTGAGAATCAGCATCAACTACATGTAATTGTACAATCCAAGTGTAGCTCAAAGATAAGGGAACCAAAATATGCACATTAAAAACATGTATTGTACCCATGTACAGGAAGACCAAAATTAATTCATGCTAGTCCTGATAATTATATATAGTATGAACGAGCCAGCTAATTGTTTTCTTCTTTGTGGAATAGTCATTCTCAATCTCAATGAGATCATTATTTTGCATATAAAACTTGTGCTTAAGCTGCAGCAAATGTACATCAATCTTTCTTAGTTTCATCAGGCTTTGTTTATTTTTTCACCATCATGATCCTGATAACTTAACACAGGTTTCATTTGCTGGTAAATTTGCATTAATCCTTAACACCCTGAGAGTGATAAGCATTTAATTTCTCCATCCTGTATCACCACTGAATCACACATTTAGGTCACAGGAATAAAGAAAATGGTCACCAACTAAAGAAGCTCTTGATTGTTAAACAAATTCTCCTCGTCAGCACCTTAGGAAATGTATAGAGAACAGTATGGAGAATATGCATTGTGATGTTAGGGTACAAAGGGTCAAGGTTTACTGGCCAAAAAACACTGTACAGTGTACATACACCTGTAAACTCTGTAATTACACCTGCACTTAACTAATTTCCTTGATCCATAGGTTAAAGCCACAAATGGTGACACATATCTTGGCGGAGAAGACTTTGACAACAAACTGCTTCAGCATTTTATTACAGAATTCAAAAGAGAGGTTAATTCTACTAGCAAAATTTTATCAGCACAGTCTTTCTATTTTTACATCAATGTTGAGCAATTGTAAACTCACTTTTTTCTGAGATATCATCAAACCTAAAACTCATAGAGTTTGAATTTAAATTTCAGAGTGGAGTTGACTTGTCCAAGGATAACATGGCTTTACAGAGACTAAGAGAAGCAGCAGAGAAAGCTAAAATTGAACTGTCATCATCAGTCCAAGTACGTACTTTTACAGTGAATAATGCATCAGTGTAGTTCACAAAAAAA